TTGGTCAACTGTATAGTTCAGAGTTCTGAGGTAAAACCTGCCTACTTGCACCCACCTCCCTCTGTTTGCACAGCTGTGGATCTCAATGTTCTGAGGTAAAAACACAGTTAGAAGAGACTGCAGACAGTTGAGGACAGTTACAGAAATCAACTATTCAAGACTCCTGAATAGACATTTTTCAAAAAAAAAAAAAAAGCCAGCATGGCAACTGAGTTAATTAATGTTTATGGGGAGATAGTAAAGGACATTTCTAGGAGCCATTTCGATGCGTGTCTCCGCGTGTCTCCCTCATGAACCTGAAGAAATATCCACCACACTGCCACTCCCTCACACCAACTCCCCCTCACACCTCTCACCTCTTACTGCCCCCAAGAAAGCTCCTGGCAAACGTCGTGCCAGATACACCAACGCTACAAGGAGGAGGCAACTTAGGAATGTGGCAAAGACATTTGCACATAGTACTCCTGCAGTGCACTGTGCTGCACAGGCCAAGTACCAGCGAGATCACCCTGAGGTGCTCAGAACAACACAGTCTCCATATGAGCAAAACAATCCAGGAACACACGTAGAGAGGCCGTCACTTTCATGGAAGGTGGCAGGAGTGGACTTAACAGACGACTGCTTCTTAAATGGACAGTTCTCTGTGGCCTGCTCCAGAGTGAGCTCACCAAGCAGCCTAGCACCTGAGGGCAGAACCACCCATGTGCTTTACAGAGAGATCCTTCAGTAGAGAGAGAAAAGAAGTACGTTTGTCTCACTTCATTTCTTACACTACAATCTTCTCTGTTAGAATTCCTACAACATGGGGGCGGGGCTACAGGCACAGCAACTTGGTCAGCTCCCAGAACTTCCCCTATTTAGAGGAGTTTTGGGGGGAACCCAAGCTCCACCAGACCTCCCGGAGGAAGGTCAGGTGCAAGGGACTTGATTCGGCCCCCCATTTGCCGCAAAACGGGTGGAAGCTTTGGATCGTCCTGAGGCAAAGAACGAAGACGCACAGTTATGGAGACATAAACTGCACTAGCTGTGTACGCCCTGGAAGCAAGAGAGTTAATCTCAGCCTCCTCAGTACTATCAACGAAGATTTACAACCTAGTAAGTACCTGGGAAAACAACATTACAAGCAGAAGACTACGAATCAAGATGGTCAGCTCCAGATAGTAATGGCCCTGGTAAAGTCAGCATGGCCACAGTATTTTAAAGATGTTCCTGGTGAGGCAAAGTCATTTTGGTCAGTTAAGAATCTTTTGCGATGTGAAGATGGAATTCTCTATGTGGGTCAAAGAGTGGTTATTCCTTTGGTAAAAAGACGAGAGATGTTAGGCCAGCTTCATGACTCCCATCAAGGTATTCAGAGGACTAAAGCTAGGGCAAGGGAAATAATGTACTGGCCAGGTATGTCTAATGACATTGAAATGTTTGTAGGAAGGTGTTCTGTATGTGCTCAGTTCGCATCAAGAAATCAGAAAGAACCACTTATACCACATGAGGTTCCCGAGTTGCCATGGGAAAAGGTAGGAGTGGATATTTTTGAGCATGAGTCACATTCATTTCTCCTAGTGGTTGATTATTTTTCAAAATACCCAGAAGTAATAACTATACCAGATAAGACGGCAGGGACTGTGATTGAAAGGCTGAAGGCCATTTTTTCTCACCATGGTATCCCTAAAGTGGTGGTGAGTGACAATGTCCCATTGGCCAGTAGAGAATTCCAGCAGTTTGCTGGTGAGTGGGTGTAATGATTTCATGTTTAACTGTGTGTGTGTCTTTAAAAGTTTGGTTGTAGGACTGTGTGATAGGCTAGTGTGGTTGAAACAGGCAGGTGGTGTGATTGGTGAGTGAAAGAGAGGGGGAGGGGTTTTGGAAGTGATGCTGTGTGGATGATATTTATGTCTGTCAAGAGTGACAGTTAGAGGGGGGACAGTTGAAAAAGACAGTTGGGGAGTCAGTTAAGTTCTGTCTCTGAGAGAAGGAGATACATCCCTGTGTGGGATGATTTGGTTCTGTGAAGTAAAAGAGTTAAGCAGTTTGTTCGTTTTAAGGTCTGAGAGAGAGAAGTCTTGTGTGTGTTATGAAAAGTTGAAGTATAAAGAAACAGTAACCGTATATGGCCTAAAGGGAAAAAAGTGTTACAAAGTTACATGCCCAGATCCCTGACAGTGGGAGAGAAAAGTGTGTGAAATATCAATAAATCTACTTTTATTTAAGATAC